TACAGTAAATGTGTCTTGGTTTCAGTGGAAAAACTGAAATAGTCTGAAGTCTGAAATAGTCAGGCCTAATTATGGATGGAATATGAAAAATAACAGAAAGGAATTTCTCAAAGATTAACATAACCCGTTCACTGACTATAAGCATGCTAATGAAGAAGAAGAAGGACAGCACCATTTCCATAACAAATTACTACGGACTGTATAATGCCCCTGTTTTACATACATAAAGCCACATTTTGTTAGTTTCCATATTCATAACACTGCCTGAATTCCCCGGTCAAACATCAAGGCATGTTTATTTCATTTGGCATAAGATCATCTTAAACTTGGGAAAGTATCCAAATTAACTTCAGTCAAAAAGGACTCGAAATGGGATTTACCTTTTAATGTTGCATTCCAGAATATTATATTTAAATAGCAACAAGCATGCCTCTGTGTGTGTGGCTGCTTTTATTATGCAGATTTAACATGGATACCAGTGCCAGCCCACTGAGATACCATATCGCGGGGGCTGTGGGGTAGCCTAGTGCTTAAAGTGTTCGCTTGTCACACTGAAAGGTCTAGGTTTGATTCCCCACATTGGTACATTGCGTGAAGCCCACATCTGGTCTCCCCCGCTGTGATACTGCTGGAATATTGCTAAACCATACTCTTAACAGGAATACCCCACAAAGACACACTAAACTAACTCCGAAACCAACCAGACTTTTTGTTCCCATAGTGATGATCAGAGCCTCCTTTCACAGAGCACTAAGGTGATCATAAGTCACAAAGAAAACCTTGAGTGAAATGTTAAGAATGGAAGTTAAGGATAACCTTAGTAAAGGTTGCTTCGTGACAGGTGCCCCTGGTTAACAAGACTTTAAAGTGAAGTAGCCACCATGTAACTTCATACAAAAAAAAATTCCTAAAAATTAAATGATTATCAAAGTTATAGACAAATAATGGGCAGTGGAATAACTTATATAGTTTAATCCTTACGAAACTGGAGCAAAAACAGGACAAATCACACAAAAAATAAATACTTTGAAAGACCAATACAGTGAGTGAATATTGCATAACGCACCATCAGCAATTTTGCATCTAAAATCAAAAGAATACAAGGTAGCCAAAGAGAGAGGGATTTTCTTGTCAGCCATGACACCCTATTACATAACTTCAACGCTAAGACAGTTGTTCAGTCATTCTCATTCACAATAAATGTTGGGCTCCAAAACTAGACGACCAACAGCATCAGAAGCTGAGCTTTCCAAAACAAATACTGGGACACCCCCTTATGACCTCCTTCAATATCTCCTTCAGCCAGACTTGAGAGTCAGGCACGCTACAGTATTAGCACACTCCTACTTGAAGGGATTAATTGCCCTCGTACTCTCAACATCAAATACTCTTCTCAGATATACAAACTCATGGTTTTGGACAGGCTTGATAACATAGAGGTTCGGTATATCCTTTTTCATAGTCTGCTTCCCCTGGGTGCTGATTCCTGAAAATTTGTGCTGTATAAATATGGATTTATGTCACGTTTATCAATATTACAGTTCCGTTAGTGTGGATCACCTGAAATGAGAGAGTATGGTTTTACGCTTTTAGCAACATTCTAGACTAAATCTTAGTCTCTGAATATATATTTTGATAGAAACCAATGATTCCTATTAAACTGAAAAGGAGACCCAGTGAGAACGGAGATGCAGAACCTGAGGAAATCTAGACTTGCTACATTTAGGGCTTTAGCAATGCAGGGAGGGTTAAGTCGGAGGGGAAATAATGCAGTTCTGGGACTGGGAAACAGGAGGGTTAAGTCGGAGGGAAAACAATGCAGTTCTGGGACTGGGAAACGGGAGGGTTAAGTCGGAGGGGAAATAATGCAGTTCAGGGACTGGGAAACGGGAGGGTTAAGTCGGAGAGGAAATAATGCAGTTCTGGGACTGGGAAACAGGAGGGTTAAGTCGGAGGGGAAATAATGCAGTTCTGGGACTGGGAAACAGACGAGCAATATTCCAGCAGCATCAGCATGATCAGTAGAAACAAACGTCACACTGCACCCGTTCTGGAACCAAACCCTGCCTTCACCTGGATGAGTGAACACTTTAACCACTGAGCTAAAGCCAATGTTTGCCATGACTACGAGACATGAGAACTCCATTCTTTGTTCCCCAGACCAACATGGCTACTGTCTAAAGCTGTGTTAAACTCTAAGCACTCAGTTTTCTGGCCTGTCCCAATACATCCATCTCTTATCATCAAGGCTACACAGCCTCAAGGTTCCCAGGTGGGCTGTAGTGCTGTGATTGCTTGTGTCAACACTGATTCCACTCACTGATTTCAAAGCTTGTTAAAGGGGGCTACACTGTGGCAAACTGGCTGCCCAGACTTATATTTAGTCCACAAAATAGTTACATTATATTAAAATATCGAACTAGAAACATGTAAAATAAAATCCAAATACCGCCCAGAACAAATTATGGATCTCAAAATGTGAAATAAAATTGAAATGGAGCCCAGAACATAATATGGATCTCGCAAATGTAAACAAAATCCAAGTGCAACCCATAACATGGTCTATTTCAGATACCTCAAACTGATTTCAGTTTTTATTGAGTTGCTTCCCTCTACGAAGATGATATTACAGGTGGCATTAGTCTGGTGGTAGTGGAACTCAAGACTAGCTGTCAGCTGGTAGAGGCCTTTAAACTGAATATCCATTTTACTTCTATGGACCAGCGGCCAGCCATGCTTGACATGAACTCATTGATGCATGGAGGTTGTACTTATGTCCACAGGGAGAGACTAAACAATCTATTTGGATCTGAAACTGAGCAGGCTGGCTGGATTCCTGACGTATCTAAATGAGGTGCATTTAGCTCTTTAGGAATTTCTACATCAAGGTTATCAGGGCTTCCAATGTAATGGCACCAAATTTGGCACGTTTTGTTTTGGAGTGGTACTATTTGGACCACTCTATCAATGGCTGCTGTTCATAGCGAGGGATACCAAGGTGGTGAAATTGGGTTTAACGTCGTACTTGAGAATATTTCGCTCATATGACGACGTGCATGCGTGTGTATGTGTATCTGCTTGTACTAGCCCAGACTGAAGCTGGTTTTATAGTGCTAGCCCACTGAGATACCATGCCGCAGTGAAGCATGAATACCCCACTCAGACACATTATACTGACTCTGAGCCGACCAGTCCTTGTTGTACCCATTAATGCCGAGCGCCAGGCAGGGACCACAAGTACCATATTTTAACGTCTTTTGGTATGTCGGGGATCGAATTGAACCACGGAGGCGGTCCAGGGATACCAAAATGGGCTTCACACATTGCACCAATGTGGGGAATTGAACCCAGGTCTTTGGTGTGACGAGCAAAACCTTAAAAACAACTAGGCTACCCCAAATGAATTGGATGGAGCAAGCTATAATTTTGATACATACAGACAACTCTGTTTAAATTGAAAAGGAGACCAATTACACTATATTGAGATGGGAAATTAAGAACCCATGAAAAATCTGGATGTGCGATATTTTGGGCAGACCACATCCCCACAACATCTCTACCTCGCACCTTTCCTCTCTACTTTAACACAGGGACAATGTCTCAATTTTGCATGACACACATTATAAAATCTACATCTGGCTAAATATGGTATAACACCTGCAGAGGATCACAAGCTATACTCATGTAGATGCCAACTAAAGGTATACTGTAATTGGATGTCAGGGGTGGAAATAACTTAAAAGTTGATAGTGTACTCTGGAACAGTGGCACATGTAAAGTCACTTGCCCTGATATTTTTTCCAGTATACCGACCGTTTTCTTGCTGATTTTTTAAATAAACAACATAATTAACATTGGAAAGTCAACTGGACACCGGTACAGTGTGATATACAATTTGCTTGCCTGACAGAAAAAAAACACTGGACTTGGACGTCGGGCAATGGGTTATTTCCACCCCTGGATGTAAAGTAAGCCCTCAAGCTTCAAATATTCCTCACCTTGATAAAGATTGAATACAAAACTTTACATGACCATTAGATATAGGAGCATTTACCTTGCCTGTACTGGATTTTTAAATTCCTTTAAGTCTAAACAATTTTTATACAGTTCCCATTACAACCAACACCTTCTGTGACAACTATTAACATCAAAGTACCCAATTTACAGCATAAAAGAACACAGTTCATGCTGTTTAAAAGATATTGTGTAATGTCTGGATTTTGTAAAAAAAATATATATTTTTTTACCATATTTTCAAACTTTTCTCGTTATGTTCCCATTAATTTACAGCTTTTTCTGATATAGATCTTTAATCTAAATTCCAACAAAAGTAATAAATAAGGTGTTTATACTACACCCGTATTCCACAGACCATAAAACAGTTCCTCTGATGGTCTACCCTGTTTCTATAGAAACCACAAGCATAATTAAAGTCTTCAGGTTATTGACATGGAACGCACCAAGCAATCTGAACAAAGTTGTTGAGATTTTATGAGTCAATACCCTGAAGTCCCTACCTATCACAAAAACTCCTATCAATTTGTAATTTTCGTTTTATTGCCTCGTAAACTATCACGTGATCTGAGAAAAACATCGCAAACCCCATGATAAAAGGACTAGCAGAGTGGGTACGTGTGATCAAGCATGTATCGACCTTCAACCTGACGGCAATGTATCAGAGTGCTGTCGGAGCTGACAACACAGGTATTGCAACTGGCAATGTCGCCTGTTCCTTTCAACCCCAACAACAGAAGCCATGTTGAATGAGACAGTGACAACAAAGAAATAACATATAATTGACTGTATCTAATGTCTTCAGGTCACAGTAGTGTTGGGAATTGGTTAAAATCTCATAACTGATGATTGGTTCAATACAACTGATCAATCATCGAAAATAATTGGTTAGCATCATTTATCAAATTTTCCTGGTTATGTTTGTTTGCACAAAAACATAAAGAAAAAACATGTAGTTCTTTGGGGTGTTTTTTTCGCAAATTGCTCATCTTTAAAGGATGACTAGTATGTTAGGAACATAAATTTCTTGGGGGTCTTTAAGATAAATTCAGTCACAACTTGGAACGAACTTGTGTTCATGAACTGTAACAGACAAAACCAACCGTGTGAAAAATATATTGTTAATGCAAAAAGTGTTTCAGAATTGTTTGTGTTCGATTATGAGAAAACATGATCGATTGCTTGGTCGTTTAGTCACTTGACATTATACAGGTCAATCTTGTGTTGATTATGTCAATTAATCGGACCACCATTAGGTCACAGTGTTGACATTATATCATGGTCAAGTAAATCGCTGTTAAAATTGAAATCAGCTAATTAGTAGCAACATACTATTGCAATATTGAGTCTATAAAACATACTATTGTAATAATGATAGTCTATAGCAGCATACTAAATAATGATAGTCTATAGCAACATACTATTGCATAATGATAGTCTATTTCTATTCTTGATATGTCTATTGTAATACTATTGTAATACTATTGCATTAGCTTTTCTCTCTTGATATGTCTCATTTGAAGTTATTTGCCAAATGAATATATAGTTTATATGCGATAAAAACAACTTGAAGTAGTTTCAGTCTCTTTTCATAACGGACAAGAAACTTGAAACCCAGATCAAGTAAACAGTTAAAACATAAACTCAATGAAGCTGCAAGTCTGCACCCAAACACCTTGTATTTTGCGCTGCGCATTTACCAACAGAAGTCAATTACTAAACTATCGGTAGTCACAAATAGTATGGATACATCGCTAGGTTTTGTTTGTACCATGGATTACTTGCTATCAGAGACTCAACAATTGCAATCCATCGATAGTTTGATGTATCGTTACAGCCATACTAATTAGGCAACAATCACATTCTCATGGATGACAGATACCGATCACAGACATTGAGTACCTCACTGAACTTCCTTCTTCACTGCCATACTGTCCATTGATGACAATGCAGGGTCTTCTTATCAAGGTTTGTTTTAAGTTCTCAGGGACGGTAGGGTAGCCTAGTGGTCAAAGCGTTCGCTTGTCACGCCGAAGATTTGGGTTTGATTCCCCACATGGGTACAATGAGTGAAGCGCATTTGTCAGTTATTAAAACAGTTAGTTTTGGTTTGACATTTGTTATTTCTAATCCATCTAAGTTAGAGCAGAAACTGACAGTGACATAAACTTATATAACTTCATTATGAGTGCAAACTTGGCTCTTATCAATCAAATAATGAATTGAAAAATAAAATTTCTTGTAGCTTTGAACCAAGTATGCTGAATTTAAGTACAGTGAACCCATCATCCAAGCCTCTCACAGACCCTGAACAATATTTTTTGCCCAGTTCTTTCAACAATGCAAAAGCTCTAAATAAAGCAAATCTACATTTCCCTCAGGTTCTGAGTGTCCCAGCTTATCCTTTTCAATTTAACATGATTTATTTGTTTCCATGACAATTCCATATTTTCAGACACTAATCAGAGGTGTGTCTCCAAGATCCTACAAAATAAATCAAATATGGGTCCTACTCAAGTCTAAAATGATTTGGAAAGTCAAATTTCCTCAGAAATTAAGGATCGTCCTGAGCATGTTTTGTACATAAGTATATTTTTTAATGTTTATAAATGTCAGTCCAAGCGTTAGTCTACCATGATCTATTCATCTAAAAATAGCTCCAAGAAGCCAAGTCCCATGATGAGATGGTAATGAGACTCCACACCCACTCCATAACCATTTTAACAGTCAGCGCCAAGCATATATTGCCCAGGGAGAAAAGCATGCAATATGAATGTATACTGGTCTCTTGACTGGGGAATAACATGCCATGCACTTTGAACATGCATCAGAGTGGTGTCTGGAGTTCTGGCTGCGTTATCGTATTCACAATGTGGGATTCCAGAATTGTTGGTGGGTCTGAAAAAACAGGAGCGTGATGGAAGCCTGTTTGGATGTCGAGCCTGCTGATGAGTGAAACCTTCATAATCCTGAACCCATTTATTCAGGAACACCATGTTTCAGATATTTAAGTTCAGGAACATCTATACTGAACAAAAATGTTAGGACTCTTGAGAATTTGTAGGGATATTTAGAGAGACCATCCCCTCCACCCAAAATATTCCCTATAATATTCACGATCCCTTAACTTGCTTTGTTCAGTTTGTATCAAGTATACTACTCAAAACAAGAGAAGAATGCTCATATATTTTCATATTACTATTGAAGATCTGTAAAAGCCAGGACCTCATAGAAAACAATCAGGAAACTTTATGAATGCTAACACATGAGAAAATAATAATAATAAAAATTACCTTAGTCACTACAACAAAACATCCCCCTAAATATTCATCATTTCTAAATATTCCTAATTCCTAAGACCCGTGAAGGTCCGGGTTAGAATAAGCCTTCAGTAACCCATGCTTGTCGTAAGAGGCGACTAACGAGATCAGGTGGTCAGGCTCACTGACTTATTGACACATGTCATCGGTTCCCAATTGCACAGATCAATGCTCATGCTGTTGATCACTGAATTGTCTGGTCCAGACTCCATTATATACAGACCACCGCTATATAGCTGGAATATTGCTGAGTGCGGCATAAAACTGAACTCACTCACTTTGACAGAAAAAAAATTTCCTTTAAAGTTGAAAAGGAGCCCAAATGGTATGGCAGGAAATCTAGACTTGATTCATTTAGGGCTTTAGCACTGGTGGAAGGGAAACTGTGAGACATTCTAATAAGTAACCAGAAGCCTAACGTAAACAAAGGCTTTGTCTCTGAATTTATATGTTATTTTGACAGAAAGAAATATTTCCTTTAAAGTTGCAAAGTAACCCCAATGAGATGGCCGATTCAGAACCTGAACCTGAGGAATCTAGACTTGATTCATTTAGGGCATTAACACTGAAGAAATGGCTGGATGGAAGGGAAATAATGTGCTTTAGGGACTGAGAGACGGACTTAGCCTCACCCTCAGCAAGACTTTTTTCTCATCAGTTTTCATTAGGACCTCCCATTCCTTACACTCTTCTCACACTGCCAAGCCCCACCCTTCCCGTATTTCAACAGGCTGGCCCTTTACTCAGTCTGGAATACCGATATCCGCCTTGCCCAGAGATGAAAGTGGGAGGCAGATGATATAGCCACATGCTCCGGTATTTACTCTCAAAATATACCACTCACAGCATGTGCATGTGATAATGATCTTACTGCCATCGTTGGTCGATGGTACTTAGAGCTAGTCAGTCACTGGTTGATAGCCACACAATTCTAGGCTATCATAGGTCGATGGTACTTAGAGCTAGTCAGTCACTGGTTGAGTCAGTCACTGGTTGAGAGCTAGTCAGTCATTCTAAGCTATCATCATAGGTCGATGGTATTAGAGCTAGGCTAGGCTATCATCAGTCAGTCACTGGTTGATCACCACTCAATTCTAGGCTATCATTGGTCAATGGTAATGAGAAGGTTTTGTGTGATTAGTTAATTCATAAATGAACATAAAAGTGAAAATGAAGACTCCATATTTTTGGCCAACCATATTTGGGGTAAGCATGAACATCAACCCAAAACAGAACACCTAACAAAACAAAAAATCAGTGACTACACAAGCGCACTTTACGCAAAAAAACATGCTGGATCAAAGCTGCCACCTTAACCTTTTCAACAGATCTTGCCACTAATAAATCACAAGTAGTTTGTTTATTGTTTTACACCACACGCAGTAATATTCCAGCTATATGATGGCAGTTTGTATATAATTGAGTCTGGACCAGACAATGCAGTGATCAATAGGGGTGTCACTATACACCAATCTCACGATACGATACGTATCACGATTTTATATCACAACGACTATACGATCACGATCACGTATCGCGATATATAATTTTCGCGCTTTTCATAGCATTACCTTACAGGCAACGTACGCGCTCGCTGATTGGTCCATCAAAATAGTCTAGCCAATCACAAAAGCTGTTAGTTTCCAACCTATTTTTTAAGTAAAGCTAGCTACATCTATTTATCGGAGCGATCTCGTATAATTTTACTATCAAGACTTCGAAGGAGATGGATATAGCATAAAAATTTGAATCGATAAAGTTTTAAAATAGGAATCGATACACGGAAGCATGTATCGCGTATCGTATCGTTCAGTAAAAATACATTCGCGTATCGCGACACCCCTAGTGATCAACAGCATGAGCATCAATCTATGCAAATGGGATATGATGACAAGTGTCAACCAAGTCAGCGACCCTGACCACCCGATCCCATTAGTCACCCCTTACGACAAGCATGGGTTGCTGAAGACCAATTCCAATCCCGATCTTCATGGGTGAATCACATTTAGACAACTTTGCCATATATATATACCATGAAGATGTGGATGTCACTTGTGTCCAATAGGCAGGATTTACCAAATAAATATACTGAGAGAAACAAATAGAGGAACAGGAAAAATTCAACTGTTCCTTTAACGTTTTCCAGTTTTCATCACCAGCTTTTAATAGCGCTGTGGGAGGAAATCTGAAAATAAATAAAGGAACACTGCCATGAAGTGGTGTACCCTTATTTGTTTCCTTCAGTATATAATACATACTTCCTGAATTAATTATGTTCAGCATAGACCATACAGAAACTTACTTGACACGGGCTCCAGGTCAGTAGCCATATTGAGTTCCAGACTCCTCCTACCAAAGGATTTTGATTTTCAAATCCTTGTTTAAAACCAAGTTCATTGTTCAAATCATGATTGAAAGAAAACTTCAAAGGGTTTTAAGACCGCAAGGTGAATCCATCACATGTATGCTACTTGAGATAACACTTAAATTGAAACTTGTACCAGAACAGAACAGAATGTTGCATATAATGAAAGGCATTGCCTGTTTTGTAAATTAAATTGTATCTTTGTTGTTGAAGATGAATGGCATGTGTTTTATATCTGTGATGCATATTCTCATATCAGAAATAAGTACATATCAAAATATTTTAGTAAATGTCCAATAATTATTAATTTTATATCAACATTACAGAGTAAAAATGTTAATATTATCAAGGATGTATGTCTATTTTTATACTTTGTTGACAAGAAACACAAATCTAAATGAAATATATATGTGCTCTACTTATCAATTTATGTACATGTATTTTGGGGCGGAGGCCTGTTACTGAAATAAAAGTCTGTTCTGAATCTTGTAATAACTTGTAATAACTTGTAATAACTTGTAATAATGCTGTTCATTAAACTACCAACCCGTGAAGATCCGGGGGTAGAATAGGTCTTCAGCAACCCATGTGCTTGCCATAAAAAGGCGACTATCTTGTCGTAAGAGGCGACTAACGGGATCGGGTGGTCAGTTTCGCTGACTTGGTTGACACATGTCATCGGTTCCCAATTGCACAGATCGATGCTCATGCTGTTGATCACTGGATTGTCTGGTCCAGACTCGATTATTTACAGACCGCCGCCATATAGCTGGAATATTGCTGAGTGCGGCGTAAAACTAAACTCACTCACTCACTCATTAAACTACCCCACACAAATGAACTTTAATCAAACATTTCTGTAACAGCAATTCCTCCAGTAACATGAAACGATCCACCTTCCATCAATCATTCCCACGGAAATATTTATGATAGCAATTTAAACCTTAAAATCAGATTCAACTTTACCAAAATAGTCATAACTGATCGTAGAAACGACTCATAAAGATTCAATCCCCATAACTCACAAATTAATCAACGTGCCATTTGTGGTTTATTAAATCCCTTATTCCGCCTCATGTCTTATAGCTAAAGGAATGACAAAGACCATTCTAATACTGTATTACTACGTTTGGAACCATATCGGTGATCTTGTTAATAAGAAAGCAATAACATGTCTCCTCCAATAAAAATAGATCAGTTCATATTTCAGCATGACATAACAGATTATGTTTAAAATATGAATGTCAAGACAAATTAACTACGCAGGTGATCCTTAATTAATTTGAGTAGTATATCTATATCTAAAATTAAAAACACAGAAAACTTAACACGTGTCTACCCTAATACATATGCAATATGAATGTCATGGCATGATAAATGCAAATTAACTATACAGGTGATCCTTAATTAATCTGAGTAGTATATATCTTCAAAAGAGTTACATAACTTTGGTCAATCTAAATTCTCTGGGTTTCTTTCTATTACATTTTAAAACAACTTTTCGCCAAAACATTTTTCAACTATAGTGTCTATTTTGGGCCTACCTGGCCACAATTACTTTCACATTTAATTTACACATTTAAACTTTCAGCCAAAAATGACGAGACCAAATCTGCACACATACACATCTCAGTTACATAAGTTTACAAGCTCAAGAGGGATTTCTTCACATACATATTTCTTCATTACATTATCATTTACAAACAGTCAAAAAGTCATAGCACCAAATTTTAAAAAACAAGCAAATAGATACCATCTCGCAATAGATGAATGTTTTGAATGAATATCAATATTCTATGTTTATGCAAGTTGTTTTGACATTGGTCACAAACAGATGCAAATTTAATATCATTTACAACATTTTTAAAATTGTTTTGAAAAAATACAAACTATTCATGTAAAAATACCGACAGATGGAGGGAGTGCAAATATGTTGGATACGAAAAGAAAACTTTGAACACCCAATGTGAATGATAACGTTTGAGTAAATACATAACACCTCGATACATTATCTGGTGCTCCGTGTTGGCTACAGTTATTAGTGTAAGAGGCTTGGTCAAGTTAATTCTGTAGGAGTCTGTGGGTAGATTACTCCCAATTACCTCTGATTAATCTAATTACCCACATCAACAGCTGGGCTAGCTTCCCATCCCATGGACCCATCACCAACACTGCACATAATACAACAATAATACTCATCATAAAATACAGTACATACATTCAGCATCCCATTATAAAAAAAAATGCAATTAATCCGAGCTTTTGAAATATCCTGCATTCCATATTTTATTGCTATCGCTGTACATGAACCTACCTTGTGTCTACTGAACCAGAATGTCTGGGGCATGTATAAAGTGAAGATTATATATATGCTTAGTCAGTATTCACCCGATGAAGAGGCAAAAAGTAGTCCTGTAGCGCAATTAGGAAGTCGTTATAGATAAAAGTTTCGTGTATAGAACTACTAATAGTTCCTTTCATCTCTTGAAGTATATGACTAGGCAGGCAGGAACCCAAGCAGGACCAGAGTCAGTTAAGTATTTAAGTTAGTAAGTTAAACATCTCAGATCTTCCACATAAGCACTGGCAGCTCTTTCAACAGTATTAATATACAGACAACTTTCAACAGTATTAATATACAGACAACTTTCAACAGTCATAAAACGCAGCAGTTCTACAGTATTAACAGGCACACACTTGTGTCTACTGAACCAAATTGTCTGGGCCATATTTGTAGTGAAGATGGAGTCCACAACCTTTAAAACATCCATTAATATATTCCTGATCTTGTTTTCTTATCGCTTGATATATATATACGCAGTATGCTTAGTCAGTATTCATCTGATGAAAGAGCAAAAAAACACTGAAAGGAACAATTAAGAAGTTGTTATTTGTAAAAGTTTCGTGCATACAACTAATAATAGTTCCTTTTACCAGCTTCCCTTACTTTTCCTTATAGGCAGCCAGGACTGGATTCAGTTCAGTACTTAATTTTAACATAGTTGGATAAAATTAAAAGTAATTAAAAGTAGTTCAACCATATAAACATGTGCACAAACAGTATTAACAGTACTTTGACAGTATTAATATACACACCACTTTCAACAGTCATAAAACACACAGTTCCACAGTATTAGTGGTCACACACACAATAGTTAATCAGGCAAACACAGAATTGCCAACAGTCATACTTATAGTGAGTGAGTGAGTAAGTTTTGGTTTTACGCTACTTTTAGCAATATTCCAGCAATATCATGGTGGGGACACCAGAAATGGGCTTCCCACATTGTACCCATGTGGGGAATCAAACCCGGGTTTTCGGCATGACGAGCGAACGCCTTAACCACTAGGCTACCCCACCGCCCCCCAACAGTCATAACACACACAGAGCATTGGCAACAGCAATAACACACCATATCAACAGTCATAACACAGAGCATTGTCAACAGTCATAACAAACTGTATTCAATTTCAACAGTCATAATACACACAGGGCATTGTCAACAGTCATAACATGCAGAGCATTGTGAAGAGTTATGACAAACATTGTCAACAGTTATAACAAACCGTATTCAACAGTCATAACAGAGCAATGTCAACAGTTATCGTGGTTATAACAAACCATATTCAACAATCACAAGACAGCATTGTCAACAGTCATAAGACAGAGCATTGTCAAAAGCCATAACACACAAACAACATTGTCCATAGATATAACAAACCATTATCAACAGTTATAACAAACCGTATTCACCAGCCATAACACACACAATTTCTGTGGTACCAAAATCGACGCTGCTGAACTCTCATTTCACCAGAACACACAAATCAATAAAGACTTCACAACCCAACTGACAGGTTCTGACATGTGGTTTCATCATGGAACTTTAATGAAGACAACTGAATGGAAGTAATTAAAATTTGATGAAACCGAATCTGGTCTCAAAGCTCCAGACTTGGCCCAAACCCCAACACCTGTTAGCTATCACCTACTGGCAACCAAGGGAGAGATAGCATTAAACTCACCAAAGAAGGTACCGCACCAACTGATAGAGCTTTAATGCTGCTGCTGCAGCTGATGATGTAAAAAAAATATTGACTCGCTTGCCGAATAAACAGAGCGTTAAGTCTTTTTCCACCACACACTGATCAATTATTCAATATATCAGTCACTGCCAGAGTTGTGGTTGTGAGGGTGGGCACTGACGCAACTACCTACAATCCATACACTGACAGAATAAGGATAGGGCCTTTTCTCACTATACAGCTTCTACAGAAGGGAAAGTACCCATAAAATATTCTGTTTTAAGGAGGATTACATACCACAAAAACATTAGAAATGAAAAGGCAACGAGAACAGTTAATAAGGGTGTAAATTAAATTCTGTAAAACTATGACATATTACAATTCTTCCTCCTAGTTTCTCTACATATTATATGCTTGGTCAAAAGTATGAAAAAGATTTTCATACTTTCTATATTGTTATTTAAAGATACAAAAATCCTATTTTGCAATGAAAAACATGTACAAAGAAATGTCAAAAAAAAATAAATTTCTCAAATTTTACAATGAAATGACTTTCTGCAATATGACTCATTCAGTCAACATGATTAACAAAAGTATGAATAATCGCAAAAAAAGAGTGTGAAAACATCACATCACTGCCACCTACCTAAGTTCTAGAACCTAACACTTGGCACGGTCATAGCATCTTCCGAGAGTGTTTACATCATGAGTATATGTGAGTCAGGGGATTGTATCATAAATCATAAATACACTCCATGAGCACGACTTCTTGGCACAGCCACCTTTTCACATACCTACACACCATACTGGCAAGTTGACCCCGATATCACCCCTAACGGATGGGCAACACGAGCACTGACCCACAAACAAATCCAGATATTCAGCAAAGAAACAGATCTACAGAAGTTACTGTTTTCTGGATTCAGGTTTTCAAGAAATAGTGATACAAACGCGATCAGTGTCCTTAAACTGAAGCCAATGTGTTGTTGGAATTCAAAAATGGTAACGCGAAAAACAGATGTTTTCAACATAAATGGTACCTAACCATCGCGTGTTTCCAAATTATTTGCGTATTTGTGGCCCCGGGTGAAACATGTGTGTGATATGACGTTGTATTCTATAGTATAAGAAGAAAACGTTGCGGTATGGTTCTACAATGTCTGTAATTGTTGCCTTGATGCTGAGAAATAGCAGCATCCATTGAGAAAGTAGCGGCTACCAATATACATACATTGTAATACATCGCGATGGAGAGTCGCAACAGAGAGCAGTAACAACATTATATACCGTCCTGCACGGGCTTCACGCAATTGATTGACTGGATTAAAGAATCAACCGAAACAATAGGTGTGAAGCACGTGAAGCTCGTGCCGATTACGTGAAAACGACACGATGTGATGAAGCTTGTGTCAAATAAAGACTGAAATAGACAGAAAAGTGTCTTACCAAACACAGTGACAATACAGAAATATGTCCACAAGTCGGCCGTCTTCGCCATCGTCTTGGCAAAGTGTAAATCCAACGTGTTTCTACATCAGTTTAGTGAGGTATGCAATGCCAGTCCGACACAATATCACCCGGAAAAACACCCGATATTCCGTTGTGGGGTTGACATTCATCGTTCACCCTCGCCTTGCGGTCACTTCTTCCATGCTGAATCGCTCGGATCCGTCGATGTATTCATCCGCCCTGTCATATAATAACATCCAGAAGACCTATTCACCACGTCCACGGATTCTCCATCATAAGCCGCAGAACATGCTCTGTGTTATCAATATTAATCAAAACGTAATATCATAAGACTGCATGTTTGAAACTTTGAACGTTTTCGAACAAATTGCAGGGACTATTTTCTTGGCCCGAAGTTGATGTCGGCTGCTAATATATTCAAGCGAGGTCATGTGATCTAATTATAGGTCTCGAGCGCTCGAGCGGGGAATGAGATCGGTTTCAAAGGACGGCGTGCAAACAGTGGCCCGTTGTGGCGATATTGTGATATTCTACTAGACCAGCGGGTATCCAATATCCTTGGGGGCACCCGATGGCCGCTGATACACTCCTGTTAATTGCTTTTTCATTCAAACAATACTTGGACCTTTGTACACCCCTTTTTAGTACCATGGAAGCGTTGGAGATTCTACTTAAAAATTCCCTGGTTTCACTACCTCAAAAATATTGCGAGGTTAAGAGGTTCAGGGGAGGCTGCTATCACTGAACACAGCTGTTAATCCCTTAAAATTTAATGTTTATTAAATTCGGATGTCTCTTCAGCCAAAACGTTTCACTTCTGTGCTGTTACGTTAACTGAAATATTTTCTCACCATTAGATGCGCAACGAAACAGGTGACATTTACGATATGTACATTTTTAGTATCACACTTTTCGTGTTTTTTTCTCAATGTTAATCATTGACGGGAAATCTGTGAAGGGATTAAGTCTCCGGCAACCTGTGCGTGTGTACGATGCAACGAAATGGATGTGGTCATCGTCGTTGACCCGTGAAGATCCGGATTAGAATTGGTCTTCAGCAACCCATGTTTGTCGTAAGAGGCGACTAACGTGATCTAGGGGTCAGACTCGCTTACTTTGTTGACACATTTCATTCTTTCCCAAATCGATGCTCATGCTCTTGATCACTGGATTGTCTGGTCCAGATTCAAGATTCAATTATTTACGGACCGCCATCGTGTGCTATAGCTGGAAAATACCTGATTTTGGCGTTTAACAAAAAAAAGAGAGAAAAATATGCATTGTAGGTCATCGTATATATCCGAGTTCCTGACCGCCTCCGTGGTGTAGTGGTTAGAGCGTCTGCCCGGAGAGCGGAAGGTCGCGGGTTCGATCCCCGACCGCGTCATACCAAGAGACGTTAAAATATGGTACTTGTTGTTCCCTGCCTGGCGCTCGGCATTAATGGGTACAACAAGGACTGGTCGGCTCGGAGTCAGTATAATGTGTCTGAGTGGGCTATTCATGCTTCACTGCGGCATGGTATCTCAGTGGACTAGCACTATAAAACCAGCCTGAGTCTGGGCTAGTACAAGCAGCCGCACATACACATACACACAGAAGATGAAACCCAGAAAAGTCTCTATGTTTAAGCAAACTATTACTTCCCTCGTGTAAGCAACACATTGTGCACATGCACCGCAAGTCCTCACCAGAAGCACTATAGTGTATACACTTAAATTGCTTCCGTTATACCCTCACTATAGCGTAGTGTCACGCTGACGGTAAGAAGTAATTGTGTTCACAGTCTGTGTAGTCTGTCATACAGACCCTGAAACAAATATATCCAAGAGAGCCCACGCAAGTCTAGATTTCAACATTTTCAGGAGTGAGTGAGTGAGTTTAGTTTTACGCCGCTTTTAGCATTATTCCAGCAATATCACGGCGGGGGACACCAGAAACGGGCTTCACGCATTGTACCCATGTGGGGAATCGAACCCGGGTCTTCGGCGTGACAAGCGAACGCTTTAACCACTAGGCTACCCCGCCGCCCCTACATTTCAGGAAATGAAGAAAGTATCAGGGCTCCTTTCAATATATATATTTATGTATATTTTTTACTGTGAACTGTTTTTTCTGTATAATGTGTTCCTTTCAGAGACTAGTTGTTAGTCTAGCAGCCTGTAATACAGTTTTTCACTGAAGATACGATGCACATATTGCGGTAAAGTCGCAGCATCCGTGACCAACTCGACAAGCCGAATGGGATACGGAAAGGGGCGCGTGGTGACGAATGAAGTCACAGCTGATTGCAAACATAGTGTGAGCGAGTGAGTGAGTGAGTGAGTTTGTTTTATAACAGCTTGTTGGTTAACGCCTCTACATTTAAACTTTCCGAAATAACCCATGCAGATCTGGGTTAGAAATTATCTTCATCACCACATCGTTGTCGCAAGATGTGACTTAGGTAAGTGAGTGAGCTAGTGAGGTGAGTTTTACGCCTCTTTTATCAATATTCCAGCAACATTAGGGCGGGGACACCAGAAATGGGCTTCACACATTGTACCCATGTGGTGTAATGAACCCGGGTCTTCGATGTCACGAGCGAACGCTTCAACCTCTAGGCTACCCCACCGCCCCCGCAAGAGGCGTCTAAGGGGATCGTGTGGTCAGTTGGGGTGACCGTACGCTCTTACCATGGCACGGTACGTATTGCGGTACAAAGCCTTCGGTTCGGTCCGTTTCGGTTCGGTTCGGTATACGAGATATAATCATAATACAGATAATCGACTAGAGCTAAACCTTACAGAAATGCATAGATTTTGACAATAATTCGACTGTTTAGAAAAGGTATAAAAAGGTATATAAAATGATGGTACGAATACCGAAAATACCGATTTTTTGGATTGCATTATGGTATACCGAACCGAAACCAAAATACCGCGGATCTACTAATACCGCGGTATACCGTTTCACCCATAATATTAGTCAGGCTCGCTGACTTGGTTTGATGCCTGTCATCGTATCCTATAGTTGTGTAGATCGGCTCTCATGAGGTCATTCAGTCTATGACTTAAGACCTTCCCGTGGAGATCTGAGTTAGCATTGATCTTCAGCAACATATGCTTGTCGTAAATGGCGACTAACGGGATCGGGTGGTCAGGCTCGCTGACTTGGTTGACACATGTCAATTGTGTAGATTTATATGCTCATGCTGTTGATCACTGGATTGTCTGGTCGCTATATAGCTGGAATATTGCTGAGTGCGGCGTAAAACAACGAAAGCAAACCCTTATATAGGATATATGTATGGTGACACTTGACTGGCATAACTACCCGTTACTGTGTAACCTAACGTGTAGCATCCTAGCTGGTTACCCGTCCAACATGTACCCGTGCTCATCCGTGAAGCCGTCACCCGATACTCGCTTTTAGCGTTTTCAACAAGAATGCGGTAGATGGGAATTCAATTGATCTCACAACCGAGGTGCCGATCCCCCTATCCGCTGACTCCCAAGACTAACAGCTTGTCTCTGAAATGAACATATTTTACAGATTATAAAAGTTTTTAAATTAAAATAAAATGCACACTTTAAACGAGACTTTCTTCTTTTTCAGAAACGTTGGTAATCTGGACTTGCCACACATTCTAGACTTGCATGGGCTGCATTGGTCATATTTGTTTCAGGGTCTCATGACAGACTTCTGACTCCCAAATAGCATCCCTTTTTCACTCTCAGTCTCATATAGCCTACTCCTGAACCCCGAATATTACTTAACACAGCCCTAAAAACATTCGATTTAGAACAAAAATAAAATATTTAGAGGAAATATTCGAAAAATTGTCCGAACATCGTTTGTTTCTAAATGTAGAAGCTGCACGCCAGACGTGTAGACCATTTGTTCAAGTTTTGGGGATTCGACCGAGAAGAGTGAGTGAGTGAGTTTAGTTTTACGCCGCTTTTAGCAATATTCCAGCAATATCACGACGGGGACACTAGAAATGGGCTTCACACATTGTACCCATGTGGGTAATCGAACCCGGATCTTCGGTGTGACGAGCGAACGCTTCAACCACTAGGCTACCCCACCGCCCCTTGACAATAATTCGACTGTTTAGAAAAGGTATAAAAGGTATATAAAATGATGGTACGAATACCGAAAATACCGATTTTTGGATTGCATTATGGTATACCGAACCGAAACCAAAATACCGCGGATCTACTAATACCGCGGTATACCGTTCACCCATAATATTAGTCAGGCTCGCCGACTTGGTTTGATGCCTGTCATCGTATCCTATAGTTGTGTAGATCGGCTCTCATGAGGTCATTCAGTCTATGACTTAAGACCTTCCCGTGGAGATCTGAGTTAGCATTGATCTTCAGCAACATATGCTTGTCGTAAATGGCGACTAACGGGATCGGGTGGTCAGGCTCGCTGACTTGGTTGACACATGTCAATTGTGTAGATTTATATGCTCATGCTGTTGATCACTGGATTGTCTGGTCGCTATATAGCTGGAATATTGCTGAGTGCGGCGTAAAACAACGAAAGCAAACCCTTATATAGGATATATGTATGGTGACACTTGACTGGCATAACTACCCGTTACTGTGTAACCTAACGTGTAGCATCCTAGCTGGTTACCCGTCCAACATGTACCCGTGCTCATCCGTGAAGCCGTCACCCGATACTCGCTTTTAGCGTTTTCAACAAGAATGCGGTAGATGGGAATTCAATTGATCTCACAACCGAGGTGCCGATCCCCCTATCCGCTGACTCCCAAGACTAACAGCTTGTCTCTGAAATGAACATATTTTACAGATTATAAAAGGTTTTAAATTAAAATAAAATGCACACTTTAAACGAGACTTTCTTCTTTTTCAGAAACGTTGGTAATCTGGACTTGCCACACATTCTAGACTTGCATGGGCTGCATTGGTCATATTTGTTTCAGGGTCTCATGACAGACTTCTGACTCCCAAATAGCATCCCTTTTTCACTCTCAGTCTCATATAGCCTACTCCTGAACCCCGAATATTACTTAACACAGCCCTAAAAAACATTCGATTTAGAACAAAAATAAAATATTTAGAGGAAATATTCGAAAAATTGTCCGAACATCGTTTGTTTCTAAATGTAGAAGCTGCACGCCAGACGTGTAGACCATTTGTTCAAGTTTTGGGGATTCGACCGAGAAGAGTGAGTGAGTGAGTTTAGTTTTACGCCGCTTTTAGCAATATTCCAGCAATATCACGACGGGGGACACTAGAAATGGGCTTCACACATTGTACCCATGTGGGGAATCGAACCCGGATCTTCGGTGTGACGAGCGAACGCTTCAACCACTAGGCTACCCCACCGCCCCTCTCATAATAAAGAAGTTGTATATC